TGGAGAAAATGAGCGACACCTTCAACAAAGAAAATTCCTAAAAATCAATGGTAAGTCCTAGCCACCACAAACTTGCACTTTGTTATAGTAAAATTGAATGGGCTAAAAAACTGCATACTCAACTTCTTTCTAGAGAGCGTAAATAAGAAGTGCAATATTTGAATGAAATTTTGCCGGCTTTTCTTTAATTTTGCACTAGGTTTGGAACTTTGCTTTTGGGGTTTTTGTTGTAGAATCAACCATATTTTTATAAAAAATTTGCGAAAAATAAAATATTAAAAAAATAGTGGCCCGTATTGTAAAAAATTCGCTGTACCTAAACTTTATTGACTGACTGTATGTACCTACGAACATTTGAGAAAAATATCGAAATTAAAACAAAACCGATAAAGACAACGATACCATAAGTACATTGGAGTCAATTAAATGCCGATTTTGAAGTCGACACAGGCTTGTGGGCAGCAGCAAATCTGCGATTGTAATTTTTTTACGAAAAAACACAAATATTACAATTTAAGCTAAGCCTGGTAATTATGACCATGTTATAGCTATGAAAGAAAATCACAACACCGCTCTAGATATCATAATCTTATTAAATATTAATATTTAATATTGTCTTAATTTATTCGTGACATAGCAAACTCTTATAAAATATGAATATCCATTAATCTTTTCGAATCAATTAATAACTTTACATACCCTTGTCGTTATGAATTATCTACCTTCTCCAAGAGCTTTTAGTTAAATAGCGAAAACGCTTATTAGCTACTTGAAGCTGCTAATTATAGAGTGAACGACTTGGCTACAACGTTGTTAGTGTCCAATACGCCAGTCAACAATGAAAGGAAAAAAAAAATATCGGACCACTTAAATGCAAATTAATAAACATATTAATAACAACAACCACTAATTAGTGGGACAGCCAATGCTGATTTATAGCATAATTTTATGCTATTTGTTTCTGTACATTCAGGGATTATATTTACACATGCCGCACATGTATACATACATACATATGTATGTACATAAATTCGAGTCTGGCATTTGAGATTTAGTTAGTTTAGTTATGGCAGTAGGCATTGTGAGCGCCACAACTAGCTTAATTTTTTTTTTTTTTTGTTATTTAGCATATAATGCTGCCTAAATCCAGCTTAATGCTCACCAATTCGGTGTAACATTAAAAGCGGATCAAATGTTTAATAATAGTTGGTGTCAAAATGCGCGAAAAATCGTTCATAGACAAATGTCCGGAACGCCTACAAAAATGTTTCTTGTATTAACATTTTGCTGTCAGCAGTTTTGCTGTGCGAAATTAAAGCGTCTTAAAGACTATTTTGTATTATATAATCACCCACTAGTGGTGCTCCATAGAAATGTACCGGACAGACAGCTATGATTGGTACATTCATGTGTAGTTTTGTATCTTATTTATGGACGCCCATATTTGGTAAGCTGTGCTGGCCGACGGCTCTTGGCTAAATGGACAAAAACGCTACTGCAAAAATTCGAATTAAGGCACTCAAGCGAAAAAACCAGTTCGACAACTTTAATGAAAACTATTTTGTATGCCAATTTTGGTGCGACATAAATTAATAATTAGTTAGAATTTTGGAAAACATCTTTCAACAAAAGTTTTTTTTTTTTCGGCACTAAATTTGCAAAAGAGATGTCTTCCAATCAAGACCAGTCAATCAATCAGACTTCCGAAACGTTTACACTAAATTTTAAAACCATACATAGTCTTTTGATTAGCCTTTTATTATAATCCTCATTTTAAGGTCTAAATAAATTTATATACTAATTTATGAATACTTTTTCGTTGGCTTGTTAAGCATTCACAAAAAAGCTCAAAAGAAGTAAATGTAGGCGTAAATAGCTTTTGAATGCAAAACTTTTGCGGAATTTCCACTAGGCATTGAAATGACAAAAAAATGGTGCCTTTTAAAAAATTGTATGTGGAAATGAACAATTATTTTTTAATACCCAACTTTGCCAATAAAATTTTTGCCATTTAATGCCTAAGTTTAGATTAAGGCCACTCCAGCCATAGCTTTGAGTTTTTTTATTTATTAGTTAACTTTATATACAAAAATTGTTATTTACAAAAAATTAATACTCAATATTTCATCCTTATTAATTGCATATGTAGTCATTTAGTGGGCATTAAATTTTTCTATAAACAACCGCCCTCGATTACTTCCTTAATAAAATTGTGTACTTTCCTTTTTCTTAGACGTAGACGAAATTTACATTGCCCCCGAAATGGGTATAATAAAATTTTAAATATCCTGAAGCGGCAATAATAACATAATTACATAACTACATAACATATACTAACGTACATAAATACTCCTCGCTTAACCAACCAAGTAAGTACATCATATGTACATATTATTCGAAATTTTTCGCCTCAAACCTGAAAAATATAAATTTTTACTCCCACCTTTTTTAATTGCAATTTTTTATTAGTCTTTTTTGTTTTCCGATTTTATTACTCTTTTTTTTAACACTTACAAATTGCAACATGCAATATGTGCATGCCGCCAACAAACAGGTGTTTGCAAATGTGTTTGTTGTTATAGCTTCAAACAAAATACAACTTGTTGCGTGTTCGATGAAAATGTAATCCATTGCAATTCTATTTGAGTGAGCAGCATTGACCAGTGTTGCTCTTTGAATTTAATTGGTAATCGGCGTGAGAGGGATATTTAGGAGAATTGCAATTTTCCCACATTTTATTAAATGTTGTTAATTCAGTTGTCGCCGTTGTTGAAATTTTCGTACATAAATGAAAGCATAACCCCTTTTCGTTTCCAAAAATGTGGCTCAGAAACGAATAAAATAATTTTCTTAAAAAAAAAAACTTAAACCAAAAACTTACTCACTGGATTGAAACTATTTCATAAAAATGCAATTTATGGCTGGGATGGGTTTGTATTCTCTAAATTTAGTACAATATAGAGCCGTAGCTACCCCTAGGCAGGTTCAAGAAATATCCAAATAATATACAAACAACTTCCAACAGCAATAAACCCTCGGCGGTATAAGCAAGTTACCAGGTTTGACAACATCAGGACTCACTAGACAAGTTAGAGGAGAATCTTGGCCAGATAATAATAATATAAATAGTTATGTGACTGCCTTGTTTGTATTGCATACTTGCTCTTTTGTTTTGAAAACTGTTGTCCGTACATATTTAGCAAATCTACAGAGCTAATGACAAAGTTTTGCAAACGATTTTTCTACAGCAATTGTCAAGCTGAAGAATTTGTCAACGCTTTTAAAGCAGCGATGGGCAAAGGGAGCTTTTACTCTACATACGCCTATACAAAATGTATAGAAAGCTTAAAAGAGCTTTGCCCGCGGGGAAGGCAGTGCCCATCAGTGTTTTAAAGAGTCTGAGACTGCAAGTAGCCTTTACGAATAACTTTGCGCACAGAAAGCTTTATCTGATCTCATATAACGAAACCAAAATTTAACATTGCATTATAAGTAGCTGTAATTAACAGTGCCTGTATTTCTAATTTCAAATTCTAAAAAAGCTAATAATGGTAATTGAAAAGCTTTTGTTTTCAGTATGTAATGAATAGCCAATAATGTGCATTATAACTCCGATATGTTTTATCATTTTCAAAATCAAATATTGCATACCGATGGCTGGTGGAAGATCGCCCTAATTATCTTGGCTGCTGGTTGAAAACGCCCTATTTTAGAATTTGGTTGAAGAACGCCAGATCTCAGCAGTTACTTCAAAAATGCTCTACCTCAGCTGTTGATATATTGAATTTATATTCAAATAGGGAGTTTTCTAAGCGGATTCTCAAATAGGGCGTGGTTCAAACACTTTGAACCGGCAGCCAAGATAGGGCGATCTTTCACTCAGCTGACGATATGTTGCCATGCTCCAAATCGGTTTCATACCCGAAGGCGAAATGATAATCCTTTCGTGGTCGATTCTTAATGCTTCTTTGTAGTTAATGGTCAGAGATTCAACAGCTTCCTTTGAAAAATAAAGCGGAAACGGTCGCCATGATAGCAAGTATAAAATTTGAAAAGGCACCAAATAATTCAAATGCAAGACCATATGCACCGGATTGTGATTACACTTTATAATAAAACGCGGCGAAAATTTATCTTAAGTCCAGAAACACCTATACCTATATGCTTTGAAAACGCATCTTCTCATATACCATCAAAGATCTTTTAATAAAGCTTCCAAAGGGAAGGTTTTATTAAAAAAGCACTACCTAAAAACATTTAAATTCTAGTATGAGCGCTTTTAATTTTTCCGTTTGGAAAAAAGAGGGTGTGTAGGTTTAAACATTCAATTTAGTTATTAGTGACACGTTTTCACCACCAACCAAAAATTTACAATTTCCTAGCATTTTTAATTATCTTCACGAGTTTTTCGAGGATAGTAAAATTTTAAAATTTGTCATTCAACAATAGCCCCTTGAAACTAAGGATTCACTGACTCTTTAATACTCTTATTTCCAATTTGTTAATATGTAGCACCATATCCTAGTTTAACCTTTATATATCTATGTACTAATATATATTTTATCATTGAAATTACAAAGTTTTAGTAATTCCAGCCTTTCACACCTTACATTGGTCATTTGATATTTTTTATATGTACAAATCACTCAATTTTCCAAATCAACACTTAATGCGGAAGTATACAACTAGACAATTGACTCCCTCAACTAGAACGGCCTTCGTTTTTGCATCGTATTCTTACATACGAGTGCATATCCATAGCTATTGAAATGCAACATAACTGGTTTTCAATGAAACGTAAACGAAAGTCAGTCAACTGATAAGCCGCAGGGCGAAAGAGGGCTAAAATATGCCCCACAACGGGCAACACTGCCGCTGCTGCTGCTCATTCTCACTTCAGCGCTCAAACTCACACGTTCGCTCCCCACTGGGGGCAACGAGAGAGCCCACTTGGCGCCGCTGATTGCAGTTGGATTTTTATTCGTAAAAGTGGAGTCGAGCGAAGTGAATGTGTTTGAAATTGGCGCGCGCGTATTTGAACGAAATAAACCGGCTGAAAAAAATAAAAAATAAAGGTATGCAAATAGGTAGCAATGCACAAATTGCAAGACAAAAATGTCGCTGCACTGATAAGGAAACTGTAAAAAAAAATTGTGTAAAATGCATGCAAGTAAACAATGAATTCGAAGCCTAAAAGTATTTGTGTGATTGAATTGGCTGACGGCGGCAAAGTGCAGTGAAAAACGAAGCTGGTGAGTTGGAGTTTCTCGTGCAGCGAACAAAAAAAAAACAAAGAAAAACAAAACCAGTGCCGGTGTAATAATGAAATTGAGCTGCCCGCCTTAACAACAACAATTAAAGCAGTAGCAGTAGCGGTGGCTTGTAAACGTAATTTATGGACCTTGATGAGTTGCTAATTGAATTTGATAAAATGTGTAAATTGGTGTGAAATGTGACAGAAAGTGAAGATAAAAATTCGATTTCATTTTAATTACTTACAATTAATGTGTGTGCAAGAGATACCAGTGCAATGGTATAAAGTTTTAAGGCAAGCTGAAAAAGAATTATAATCAACTTAGTTAATGACACAAAACGACTTTCGTGATTGAAGCGGCAGATTGATGTGGGGAACGATACATACAAGTGAAAAATAAAATAAAAATTGAAATAATTACAACATTTTGCAGCTGTTGCAGCCGGTCTTCAAGGAGAGGCAAATTTTCATTGACAACAAGCGCAATTAAAGGTAATCATTGTTACATTCTTTGGTAGCAGAGTATATTTTTATAATACATACCTATTTAGTAGCACGAGCTACTGGCCTAATTGCTAACAAAATTGTTCATAAATACTTATGTACACACTAACATACATATGTACCCAATTTAAAGCTTCAATCAATGCGACTGCATAATTGCAAGAAAAATGTATGTAAATGTAAACAACAGCATCAAGAAAAGGTGAAGTCGCGATATATTTCACTCCGAATATTTACATATTTATGTATACTCATTAGGGTGGTCCAAATATGCATGTGGAAAAAGCAAAGTCGGAATTTGTATGTTCTCACCCCCTAGGATTATCCTATACCGAAAAAATATACCCTCATTTTTTTATTTTGAAATCAACCCACCATGCAAAACATGAGAAATAGGCAACAATCGTCAATGGCAACAAATTGGCGACTCACCGATTTATTGCTGTGGTGACAAATCGGCAACACCCCTTCGTTCATGTCAATTTTGAATAAAAAAGTTCTCAAAAATTCGGAAACTTATGAATATGGCGTCAATAGCATTGGCCAAAAGCATCTAAATTATGCCCAAGGACAAGATTGAAAAAATAGGAAGTCTCACAGCGAGAAATGAATTAATTCCGATTGTAAGTTGCAATTTGGTATACAAAAAAATAAATGAAGTATTAAGAAGAATAAAATTATTCCAAATATCGCCTGAAGCGATAAGAAAAGGACTCATTCAGGTAATAAGAAAACGACTCACCCAGGCGAGTTGCCTTCGGCGGACGTTTTAGAGCGACCGGTAATAGGAAATCGATTCGATGGCAATATTACCGGCAATAAATTTGTTTCCGAGGGCGACACGTTTTCTTATTGCCGGCAACACAAATTGTTTGGTGGGAAAAAATATTTAGAGGTCGCTCAAAGTGCCCAAAGTTTTCCACGTATTTTATATGGGGTAAAAACGACTTTTCGTAGAAATGGTATAGAATAGCTAAAAATCAATATTTGTCTACCAGAAAACTCTGTTTATCTGCAGGAGATTCCCAATAATAATACCCAATTGTTTATTTAACCATTTTTCATCGAAACTGTAATTTATAGTCCTTAGGTGAGAGCATTATAATTCCGACTTTACTGTTTTTGGAACACCCTGATGTACATACATACACTTGTGATCAGCTAATTAAGACAGCAACATTTTGACCAAATTGGCGATATTTCTTTTCTTTATGTAGTGTTTCTTGTTTTATCATAAAAGTCTACCTCATTATAACAAACATCATATAAATAAATTCACATTTTAAACATTGTTCTAAAAAATATAAAATTTTGCAAAGTCTCAGGTAAATTGTCAACTTTCTATTCAGATTTTTTTTTTGATTTTTTGGGTATGCTGTTCAAAAGCCCATAAAATTCTATGGTAATAAAGTGCAAGTTTTAAGTTGCTAAAGAATCCCGTTGAATTTTAATAATTTTTTTTTCTGACTGCACTACGCTTTTTTCTCTAAACAAAAAACAAACAAATTCTCGAATACATTTTATACTGAAAAAAATGCGTTAATTCTAAAAATCTGAATAAAAAGTTAAAAATTTAGCTGAAGCTGTGCAGATTTTTATAATTTTTGCCATAAGTTTGAAATGTGGCCGTATGTATATGATGCTTCTTATATAAAGAGCTAGAATTTTATGAAAAAATAATAAACAAATTGATCAAAATATTACTGGCTTACTAAACTGATCACAAGTGTACATTTACATATATGTAAATATGTATGTGTGTGTTCTATGAAGATTATTGAAAATCTATGTGCGTGAGCGTGCTAAATACCCAAAATATGTATTAGCAAATTGCTCGCATTTGTTCACCTGCAATGGAGGGTCGCAGATGCAGTCAACTGCACAGCCACTTTACCTCTTGGCCACCATGGCTCAACTTGGAGCAATGTAATTAAGCCTTGGTTAAAAGCGCGCATGCGGCCGGTTTCACATTTTGCCGCTACTGAGGCTGAGACGGTCGGCTGGTTTTAACATTGTGTCAGCGATTCGCTTTTGGTTTTCATTTTATTTTAACTCGATTCTTTCGTTTAAAAATTCGGCTGTTTTCTGCAATGGTTTGCACTAAAAAATATTCCATTTTCGTTTCCTCTATTTAACTATGTTTTTTTATTATTTATTTTTGGTTTCTTTTGTTCTCACACAAATGTGGTTAGTCAAATTGAATCGCATGTTTTGGCACAAAATTAGTTAGCCAATTAGTTGCGAAAATCCACAAAACAAGAAATGTAGCAATAATCAGTAAATGCGAACAGTGATTTGTAGCAGCAACACATAAAAAATTGTGGTTTTCGGACTATGCGCATACATACATCTGAGAACAAAAAAAAAAGAATTTAGCTGCCAAAGTAAATTACTATTTAGATCACGAAAGAATATTTTGTTGGATTTTTCTTGTTTCATTCCAAACAAATCAACACTAACTCACCAAATATGTATGCGGGCTTGAAGATTTTAAACGCCAGATCCTTCATTATGGGAAGAAACACATACATGCATAAGTATGTATGCATGTGTATTCATATTTAAAATCTTAATGAGCCACCCTACTGAGTGAAGGGAAGAAGACACATACAAAGATGTTTGAAGATGCTCTAGTTCCTAATGTTATACGCAGCTTGATGTGCGAATCAGTCAGGGCATGCTTAATAATTATATTTTCAGTAAAATAAAAACTAAATTAGAAAACTTAAAAAAAAATGAAATAAAGCTTAAGTATTCCGTTGCCATAGCTATAAGATATACGTTCCTTTCTGAAAGAAAATAAATTTAACCAAAAATTAAATAAAGTAAAAATTAAACAAGTAAGAAAGTCTAAGTACGGGCGGAGCCGAACATTAAATACCCGGCGCAAGTATTAAATATATGTTTTTTCACCTTTCCGAAACCTACCGCTAGATGGTAAGCCGGGGTGTATCAATTTTGAGTAAATTAGCGTCCTTCAATTTCGAAATATTGAAGTTTCAAGCATTTCTGAAATTTACCGTTATATGAAAAGCGGCCGTAATTTTAGTCCGATTTCAATAATTTTCAACGTTTTGCTTATATGTGGCAAGCACAATAACCACACCGAGTTTGGTACAAATTGGTAGAACGGTTACCGATATACATATATGTATGTGATCATAAGTGGGCGGTGCCACGCCCATTTTCCAAAATTTTACCATAAACGTATTTCTTCAGCATCAGTTTTGAATAAACTAGCTTCAATATTTACTGATTTATCGAAGATTTTGTATTTCTCTAAATTACCGTTATATGGGATGTGGGCGTGGTTATTGTCCGATTTTAAAAATTTTCGGCGATTTGGTATGCTGTACCAAGGCCAACGACTGTGCCAAGTTTGGAAGAAATTAGTGCAGCGGTTACCGAGATATACAAATGTAACCATAAGTGGGCGTGGCTACGCCCATTTTCCAAAAATTTATAACATTCTTAGTTTTCGTCTAAAAATTGTTGTAAATATCAATTTTGAGTGAATAATCTTCAGTAGTTCGTATTTCCGAAAATTACCGTTATATGGGATGTGGGCGTGGTTATTGTCCGATTTTTTAAATTTTCGGCCATTTAGTATGCTGTATCAAGGCCAACAACTGTGCCAAATGTGGAAGAAGTTAGTGCAGCGGCTACCGAGATATACACATGTAACCATAAGTGGGCGTGGCTACGCCCATTTTCCAAAAAAATTATTGTAAATATCAACTTTGAGTGAATTATCTTCAGTAGTTACTAAAATATAACAGTTTTCGTATTTCTGGAAATTACCGTTATATGGGAAGTGGGCGTGGTTACAGTCCGATTTCGCCCATTTTCAATACCAACCTACCTTGGATTAAGGGAAACCTACATACCAAATTTCGTTGAGATATCTCAATTTTTGCTCGAGTTATCGTGTACACGGACGGACGGACAGACGGACGGACAGACAGACATGGCTTAATCGATTTCTTTTTTCATCCTGATCAGTTATGTATACATTTGTCTATATCTATCTCGATTCATTTTGGCTGTTACAAACAACTGTTATGTGAACAAAATTAATATACCCTTGTGCACAAGTGCGCTCGGGTATAAAAATAAAAATAATTGTTAAAAAGGTAATGTAAAAAAATTTAAAACCAGTTTTACTATTGGTTAATAAAATATAAAAAACGACCTCCGCACCTCGACGGCTAAATTTTTTTGAGTCATTTTCATTCCATTCCATTTAAGTATTATACATAGGTTCTAAATATGAAACAAATCGGACCATAAACACGGGGGTTTCAAATACGACGAAACCTGCGCCATGTAGCGTATTAATTCATATTGCATTGTCATCGGGTTTGAAGTTTTGAGCCTTTAGTTGATTGCGAAGTTGCTGCACTTAATAAATACATACACTGAGATGGACACCGTCTTGTCCGCGTACAGAGCTTTTTAAGCATTCTATACATTTCGCGTAGACAAGACATGATCAGAAAGAGCTTTTATACTTGGGCGTCCATACAAAAAGTTCGTGACTAAAACATATCCAGCGAGCGAAGCTTTTCAAAGCTTTCTAAATCTTCAATGTTATGCTCTAAATCGCGGGCAAGGCGGCCGAAACGATAATTTCACTTTAAAATAACTACTGAAAAGCACAATCAGGGATGCTCTAGTTTTCGAAAAGTCACATTTCGCCTGATATGAAAAAGTAGCTATAGGCGCACATCGGAAGTTAAAATAATTTATGTCCGATCACATCTTTAGTACATACGCAAACATTAGACGATTTGGAACAAAGTGCTGTCAAACGGTAAACTAAAACTCTCAGTCGCTAAGACAAATTCACCATCGCGTGCCACATTCCTGGATGAAGATGCTAACTCACGGAAAATTTGGCGCCGTTTCGCAATGACGACAGACCTAACAAGAAATCCAGTCGAGCGATGAGACATTTACTAATTTTTATTAATGACAGGCATTCAAAT